TGTTAAAGATTTTAAAGCAGAAAAATGAGTGTATACTCAATTTCAATCAGAATATGTGATTTTCCTTATGCTATATTTTTCCTGTATCATTATGGCTTTCTTACAGTAATATGATAAACAAAAGGAAGATTGCTAAATCACCAGGAAGCTCATTAAGAATGATTTAATTGAAATTAAATTTTAGACCACTTAATTAATATCAATTAGCCTTCCCCTTTTAACCATAATTTATCATGTTTTTCCACAGTCTATACTTGGATAGCTATACCAAACATGACTTGATCGGCTCAATATTCTGTGTGTATCTAACAGAAAGCAGAGGCTTTCTTTATGTGTCTGTTTCCTGAGGAGAACAGTTAATGTCAAGTTTCTGTGGCAAAGGTCAGTGTTTAATAGATACTGTGGTATGCTTAATAACCGCACGAAATCCTGAATGTTCAACCACAAATTGGAATCATAACCTATTTTTTTCTTATGTTTTCATGCACATGGGTTTAGGTGCCCAAGCAGATTTCTTGTGAATTCCATTTCTTTTTCAAACATATTAAAGATACTAAAACATTTGATGATATGTCCACCAAGGTCAGCCATGTTTCTCTTAATATGTTTCACACTATTTCAAGGTAAGATTAAAAACATAGTTGCCGCTGGGTATTATAGCTCATGCCTATAATCCTAGCAATTAAGATGATAAGAGGAGAATCACAAGAGTGAGGTCTACAGGATGAGTTTTATTTAGAGCAGCCTGAGTTGCACAGTGAGGCTCTTTCTCAAAATCAACAAATAAATAAAAATACACTAAAAAATGAAATGAAAGAGTGCTACAAAGAATTAATTTTATTGAACTACACAGCACAATTATTAGTTTTTCTCAAAATTATGTAGAAGACAATGACAGACCTGCCCATATATTTCAAAGTCTGCCCTCCCATTCTCTCATTTATCTTTCCTCCTCCCATTTCTCCTCCTTCCTCTCCCCATTTCCCCTTTTCTCTCCATCTTGAGCTCTAAATTTGCCAGTATGAATTCTTCTTTGTAGGCAGAACTCTGGTATATGTTTCCATTAAGATGCTGGATGTTTTCCAAATCATTATCCATTCAATATTGTAAATGAGCAATTGGAAAATAATAAAATGTATCAGTATGTTAAGCATTCTACTTAAAGATGAAATATTTGGAGCTTTCATATAATGTACTTACCCATAAATTAGATGTTTCAAATTGAGACTGATTTATGTTTATGTATATATGCTAATTAGGACAATAAAATGATTTTTAAGAATATGAAATGCTTTTTCCACTCCACTAGTTTGCTTCTTATATGTGCACTTTCTGTCCTTAACATTGAGATAGATGCTATTGTAGAAAATACAGCTAGTTCAGTGTGACTGTGCAAGCTCTATTCATGTCAGATATACCAGTTTGCATAGACTTCACTTAATAGCTGTCCATAAATCTTACTAAAGCTTTGAAATTTAAAACAAAAAGAAAATGAGTAAGTCCAACTAGAACCATAGTAAAGCTCTTAAACAGTGGAATGGAAACAAAACTTGCAGAAGAATCCTCTAGTCCAACTACTATGGAATCACTTGTAGACACCTGGAGTCAGGAATCACAAAAGAAAGAGCTTTAGAATTTAGAAGATTCATCAAGGATAGTAAAAGCCACGGATGCAACTGCCTGGAGGAATGGCTTATTTCAATTGTGGGTGGAATGATTGGCAACATAGTTTGTTCCCTTGAGTGCCTTGTAAGGTAGAAAGGAAGACAATTAATTTGCGGATCTGACTAATGCGTTCTAGCAACAATGTTAACTAACCTGACTTAATTGCCAAGTAATAAGTAAAGTGAGAAAAATCAACAGAAAAGGGAGTGTTTTATATTCAATGAAAGTTTGGAGAAATTAATTCTAATTGAGGCCATGATGGATTAGAAAATAAATCCTTATCACTCCCATCTTCTTCTGTGGCACAGTCTCCAAATTGGGATATAGACACAGAGTTGAGGTCAAATGTAAGCTGCTGTCTTCAAGATATGCCTTTGAGGTCAAAATTAAGTCAAGGTCTTCCTGGAAGACCTTTTGTTAAGATATCAGAACAATTCAAAAGTCATTTATTTGATCTAGTTTTAACTAAAGACATCTAAGTTTTATGAAGATTTGGCCATAGGAAACCTCAGTCATAACTTGGAATAAAGGATAACTTAGCTTGAAGGTATTTGTAGAAGTGCCCTTTGCCTAATGAGTGGATTATAATTTGCAATATAGGAAAAATATACTTCATTTCATCTACAGTTAGTTTGTGCTGAATGAACAAGATATTTCAAAAAGAGGTGAGATGAGACCACTTAATTTATGTTATATATGGATATAAATACAATATGTGAAGCATCTTTATGATAACCTAATATATAATGTTGCATTCCCCATGCCAAGATGCTGTACCTGATGAACTGTATTTGATGAAACTTTCTCTTCTGAACCTGATTTAGATAGTTAAATCTTAGTCTGCATGTCAGGCCTAATACTGTAATATAGTGAGTGCGGTTTTAGGAGAAAGGGGTGAATATATTTCACAGGAGGAAGGTAAGTTTTTATGGACTGAGACAGAGGTTTTTCTTTTTTTTTTTCTTTTTTTTTTTTTTTTTGTTTTTTTGTTTTTTTGTTTTTCGAGACAGGGTTTCTCTGTGTAGCTTTGCGCCTTTCCTGGAGCTCACTTGGTAGCCCAGGCTGGCCTCGAACTCACAGAGATCCGCCTGGCTCTGCCTCCCAAGTGCTGGGATTAAAGGCGTGCGCCACCAACGCCCGGCTCTGGTTTTTCTTTTTTAATACTGTCCATAAAATACTTGTGGTCTTACTTGCTGTTTTCCAATATGATTGTTTTCTCCTTTACCTCAGTGGTTATCCAGTCTTTATCTTCTCTCCTGGAATCTGAGGTGCCCCTGTGCCTGTTTTGACCAACATAATGCAGAAGCAACTACAAAATTCCTAGATTGGGGTTTCAAAAGTCTACAGTCTCTGTGTAAAACACCGGGAAATCAGAGGCCCTGCCAAGAAGAACTATTATCCTGCCACCATCATTCTGTAGAAGAGCCTAAGATATGTAAAATCATCAGTGTAGGAAAACCTTTAGTAACCATTGATGTAAGCAAAGCCTTCTTGGTGCATCTAGCCTAGCCTAGCTTCAGCCATCTGAGACTGGTTAAATAATCTCTAAGTAGAAGAATAGTTACTGTCATTGAACTAAAGATCTTAATTACTATTATATGAGCTAATAAGATGATTATTGATTAAAGCCACTAACTTTTGGGGCAATTTGTCAATTGTCAATAGGGGAGGTTGCGGTAATGTCTCAGTCAGACCACATAAGCATAAAGGCCCGAGTTTGTATTGCTAGCACTATGTATAAAAAGGTGGGTACAGCACATACATCTATAATTATAGTGCTGGGCAGAGAGAGATTGGGAGGTTGTTGGAGCACAAAGACCAGGTAGCCTCCCTGAAAGGTGAGCTTCAGACTCAGTGAGAAAACATGTCTCAAAAAATAAATAAATAAGGAGAGCATTGAAGATTTCACTGACACCTGACTGATATCTAGCCACTACAGCACATGTGTGCATATGGATGTGTACCTTCACACACATGTGCATGTACCCCTAAAAGCATATATAAAGTACATATGCCGACACCACAAGTGCAAATAAATAGCTATTAATAAAAATAAAATGGTCCTAATTCTCTAGGTCTAGAGTATTTTGCTTCTCCTGTATTAGTTGTTAAAATTACCTTCTGGCTTTAGCTCATGGGACAAACACAGCCACTGTTATTGGAGGTAGTGATCACACAGACTGTGCAATTGCAATTTTTGAATAACAAGTCTAGCTTTATATCTTACTAGTCTAAGCTATCCATCAACTCCAGGGAGAAAAGGACAAAACAATGAAACAAAAATCTGTTTCCCTCAGTGGGTTAGTCTCTCAAAGTTACTTTTCTTTCTGTTTCCATGGAATTAACTTTGTTTACTTTTCTCAGAACTTTATAATAACTTCATAAGTAGTTACTATTATGATAGGAGTTTAGAAGGGATAAACTTAAAAGTCTATCTCTACTCTGAAACAGGACAACTATGTACGTTGTCCTGCAGGAACCAATGATGGCAGCAGGAAGCCCCCAAGTGTGTTTGCAGTGGTAGGCTTGTGTTGGGATCAAGAGAAAGTCTCCTTCTAAAAGAATGCAAGATTTTTGATAAAATGTCATCATTTGGAAGTGTGTACACATGAAAATACTTCTTGGGGTAAACTCTGAGAAGTCTATAAAGTTTCTTAACCACGCCAATGTTAAAGTATAAGAAGTAAATAAAGTGAATGCCAATGTGTCAGTTGCTATGTATGAAACAAGAGGACAAGGAAGACAAAGAAGAATTTCTGAATTTTCAGTGTGGGACCTGACATTCTGGTGATTTTCAAAGAGAACAATAGAAGCAAGCTAAGACACTTTCCAGAAATGTGACCAAGAGGATTGCATTTGAGTACTTCAAACTATGTTTAGTACAGTCAGTATGGAAACTGTGGCACAAGACCTTTCTGGGGTGTGCAAGCCCATTCCCTTCCTGTACCACTGTGATCACATGACCTAGATTGTGAAACTGAGCTGGCCTTTATTCTGAGTCTGATTCACTGAACAGTAAAGTAAAAATGGACCCCAAGTACTAACATGATCTCTTTATAAACAGACATTAGTGGAAATCACAAACTCATTATCATGTAACTTACCCATTGATTATTTTTTGTGATAGGAATATATTATACCATATACAGCTATTGATTTTTTTTTAAAAAAAGAGTACTAAAAGAGCTATTTTCTATTAAAAATGCAATGACATTTGTTTAGCCTCAATCGCAAAAAAAAAAAGAAAAAGAAAAGTTAAATGACATTTCAAAAAAAAGGGTATAAGGCTTACAAATAATTTAAAATTTTATTCCTAAAAAGATCTGAATTCTCTGCAGAGTAATCCTATTGGATTCACCGCTGCTCCTTCAGGATTCCCACTGCTGGCCACCTCTCTGCAGGTTTCCTTCTTGCCGTCATGCAGGTTTTAGTTATTGTCTGTTGGTAATTATCTCCTTTCAATAAGAGTTAGAAATCAGATTCAAAATTAAGAATACATAATAAATGGAACTCTGGTTGTCCTGAATCTTTAAATAATAAACAAAATAACTCTTTTGGGACAGCAGAGCCACCTTGCCCAGCCTTTGCATTCCATATCATCTTCTGGAAACTAGCTTACAACGAGGAAATGCTGGTATTTTTATCCAGGGCACATGTGTTCTACAACCTTTTAAAAAGAATATTGGATTTTTAAAACCCAAGTTTTGGGAAAACCATTTTTTGAAAACACTGGAGAAACATGTGAATCCTCATATTGTCAACATGAAGTTCCATAAAGTGACAAGGGTAAAATACATCCTAAAGAAGAAGCCAGTGTGGCTAAGGCATCCTGTCAGTACCAAGAGCTCATGTTACAATGGAGGCCATATTCTTTTCCAGCACATAAAGCCATTAGGCTGGCTATCCATATTTATAGATATTTTTGTTATCTCAGCCCAGAAAAAAAAATAAATTTAACTTTTAAGTATAATACGAATGGGGTTATCAGTTATTACAAAAATCAAATAGACTAAGTGCTTTCTTAAGTGTCAATGGGACATACAGAATATTGAAATGAGACTCCTATCACTCACTCTGTACAAAAGTTAACTAAGGATATACTAATGATGTAAAAGCAAGACCTTTGACTCTGAAACTGCCAAAGATATCACAGAGATACCTTTGTAAGATGTTGTTATAGGCACAGATTTTCTGGATAAAACCTTAGGTAGACAGGATATAAAGAAAAAATTGACAAACAAGATCAAAAAGCTTCTTCACAGTAAAGGAAAGCATCAATATAGTGAAGGAAAAAAATATAGATTGGGAAAAAGTACTTAGCATCTAGTCACCTGAGGAGGGTTAATATTGACAATACATAGAGAATAGAAAAACAGAGATCATACAACTCATCCATTTTAAAACATGAAAAAATGGCCTACATGGGCAGTTTTCAAAAGAAGAAATATAAATAGCTAACAAAAATTAAGAACGTAAAATTAATTTCACTAGCCATCAGGTAAGTATAAAGCAAAACTACTGGGAAAGATCTTATCTGAGATCATTGTTATTTATCATAACAAATGCTGGTAAGGATATAAAGAAAAATGATTGCTCATACACTCTGTGTGAGAATATAAATTAGTACAACCACTGCAGAAAACAATATGAGGAGCTGGAGAGTAAAGATCCATTAGGAGAGTAATTGCCATATGCCCTCCGCTCAATCTCCAGTGTTGTATATACTGACTATTATGGTGATGCACACCTACCTGTAATGTCATAATCCCAGCATGTGAGTTTGTGGTCATCTTACTCCTTCAGCTACATAGTGAGTTCAATACCTTTGGGGGCTACAGGAAAAGGAAAGGAAGAAGGAAGTGGGGGAGGAAAATAAAACAATATTTAGTTTCCTCTCTAAATTAAAATAGATCTACTGTATTATTCAGTTATCCCATCTACTTATATAAAAGATATGTACATGCAGGCCCACCTGTTTATTGCAATATGCTTTATAATAGCTAAAATGGAAAATCAGCTCAAGTGCCTATCAACTCAACAAATGAATGGATAAGAAAGATGTGGTACATCACGTAGTACTACTCAGCATATTATTTTATATACTTAGTACCTGTTGCTGGGGGGCTTCTCTCCAGGTTCCACCAAGCCCCGCAGTCCCACAATCCAC